TATAAAGAGAAGACAAAAATAATTCTTTAACCTTCGTACACGTGTCGGATATTTTAAACGCGCGCGCGTGTACGTGTGATACGTGTACTACCTTTCTTCTTCTTCTTCTTTCTCTCTATCTCTCTTGTGTGTTTCTGTGTATATATATAGAATATAATACATATATACATATACATATATATATGTATTATAAATTTTATACGCAAATATTTATATATACATTTTTATATATGTATATATTATAAACACTAAAATGGTATCTACCATGTGAAATATAAGAATAATAACTTTATTTAAAAAAATAAAAATTAATTAAATCGTCTTCGGAAAACGGTACATTGGAGGGTGAGCAGGAGGTGTATACGATTACGAGCTCTCCTGGTTTTGCTAGAAGTTTACGTACGTACGCGCACGTTTCTTTTTTTTCTTTTTGCGTTACTTATGATTAAAGCTTATATATTTTCTTGTTCTTTCATACTCTTTCTCTCACTCTCTCTCTCTCTCTCTCTTTCTCTCTCCCTTTTTCTCTAACTCTCACTATCTTACGCACACGCAGACACACACGTATACATGCACGCATACAAAAGCGCGAACACTTTGTCACGTTTTCCTGACTATTTACTTTTCTTTCTCTCTCTTACAATTAATATATAAGACACACCGATGATGTGACACGTTATCGTCACTTTGAAAAAAAAAAAAAAAAAATCAAAAAAAAAAAAAAAAACATAAAACAAAGAACTTTCATCGATCAATTTTTTTTATTTTTTTTTTTTGTTTTTTTTTTTTTTCTTTTCTTTTCTTAATTGCAAAATAGTCGCACGCACAGAAATTCGTCGAAAATATTAAATGATTGACGACAAATATTCATTCGTGTTTTTATCTTATCGATTCATTCTTTCCGTTTAACTTTTCTCTTTTCTATATTTCACTCTTGCTCATTCACTCACACATACATACATTCTAACATTTATTTTTTCTCTCTCTCTCTCTCTCTCTCTCTCTCTCTCACTCTCTCACTCTCTCTTTTTTACTTTAAAACTTACACTCACACGCTCGGCCGCGTATTCGCCGCAACACTTACGTAATTTCTCTGAACTAAGATATTTAGACAAGAATATAACAGCGGTATAAAAAACTTTTCAACACTGAAAAATACAATCTATCATAAATGACTACCATTGTTACTCGTTCTCCTCACATCTTTCCTCTTATCGCATTATGTACTCGTCGCTTTCTTTCTCACTTTCTTTCTTTCTCTCTCTCTCTCTCTCTCTCTCTCTCTCTCCCTCTTTCACCCTAACTCATTCTCTACTTTGACATCCTCCCTCATTCTTTCAAACCTTATTTTCTTTTTCTCTTCGTTACACGCATGCATTAATCGAACGACAGTGTATCTCTACGTATATACGTGTACGCGCGTGTGTATGTGTATAACTGTGTATTTTCCCCTCATTTATGCATCCTTTCTATGATGTTTATATATATATATATTTTTTCTTTGTATGTTTTATTTTCATTTATATACGAGTGTATATACATAAGTGTATATACGAATTTCGTAAGTAGTCACGTTGCGATTTCGTAGCTCGATCGCGACCGTCGCCATTATGATAATAAAATATGTGTGTATAATAATAATAATCATTAATCAATCGCGTCGATCCTAAACGATGCTGTTGCTTCTTCTTCTTCCCTTTTCTTTTTTCAATTTTCTTTTTTGTCATTTGCGTTAGAGAAAAAAAAAACAGTCATAGATCCGTTATTTTTTTCTTTAAATAATTATCACGCCACATAATATTATGCTATTAATCTTTTACTCGCACACATACACACGCATAGACATTCGTTCACATTATTTCGATTCACACACTGTCGATTCGCGTACGTCTCTCTCTCTCTCTCTCTCTCTCTCTCTCTCTCTCTTTCTTTCTTTCTTTCTTTCTTTCTTTCTTTGTTTCTTTCGTTCTCGCTATATTTAAATCCCCAATTACATTGCCCCATTTCTTTCAGGTCTGTCACAATATATTAAATATTTTAATCGTTATTATCAATTATATATTAGTACTATATATATAGGTATATATATATAGATATATATATATATATATATATCTATATATAATTGTCATTATATTGTATATATATATATATGTATATATATACACAATACATATATATATATTGTGTATATATATATTATGCTTTATCACACGTATTACAAGTGGCTTGCAGAATCACACTTAACATATTATTTATTACTATTATTTGATGTCCTTAATTCTTTTTTTTCCTTTTTTTTTTTGTTTACTATATTTGTTACTGGCAACTTCGAAACGAAAAAACTTCATTGAAACTGTAGGTCTTTTTCGCGCCATGCTTTTATAAAGGACGTGTGACTGAGCCTCTTCGTGTATATGTGTATGAATGTATATATGTATGTATGTATATAAGTATGTATGTATGCATGTGTGTTTGTGTATTTTCATTAACGTAGACGTGTAAAAATGTTCACAAATTTTTATATTTCCTATTACTCACAACGCTGTATGCTGCTTGCTTTTTTGTCCGAAAAAGGATTGGTTTGCAACACGTAAGAAAAAAAAAAAAAAAATAAAATAAAAACAAACAAAACGGAAGAAAAGATACGAGAAAAATAAAAAAAAAAAAAAATAACATAAAAGAAAAGGAGAAAAAAATTAAAAAGGGATTAGAAAGTACATATCATCGTTGGCGACGCGACAGCTTGGCGAAGTCAATTTAAAGGACTTCACGCGTCGCGATATGCAAAACGATCATTATATTTACCATATTTTCTTCATTTTCGCATATTTTTTCTTACGTACAATAGAGAGACGCGTAAATCGAACACTTATTTAGTTAGTTAGGTAGGTTTTTTTTTTTTCATCTTAAGAACATTCATATTCAAAGGACACGATTGTTTTAATTACGTCGATTACGTGAAAAAATGATGCGAATAACATCGACTCTATTACTTTCCTACCTCTCTTTCTCTCTCTCTCTCTCTCTCTTTCTCTCTCTCTCTCTTTCATTTATGTCAAATTTACTATGCTACGATTTAATCTCTCCCTTTGACTTTATTCACATTATGTGTGCCTGTGTGTGTGTGTGTGTACGTACGTGTTTGACATAAACGTGAGCGTATATTATCATCGCGCATATGTATGTATGTATGTATGCATTAGTGTATGTGAATGTATGTGTGTTTTACGTAGGGGCCGCGTCGGCGGGATCAAAAGGGTTACTCTCCGCGATCCGAGCAGCTCTCTCGTTCTTTTAAACATTAGAAAAATTTATCTAGAAAAATCGGCCTCGGTCCTCATGTTCAAGGGCTCGCTTCTCAAGAACTTGGAACAATACTACTCTCTATATAATATATATATTTATATATATATAATATGTATATCAATATATATTTTTAATTATCAATTGATTTAGGTAAATTGGTACCTACATAAGTTTCTCTACAATTATATCGATCGATGGGAGTCTTGTGTGTTGTATCTGTGTATATGTATGTATGTATGTATGTATATATGTATGCATGTATGCATGTCTGTATGTATACATTTATATATGGTATTTCACGATAATGTGTAAGTGTAATTAGTGTAAATGTGTTTAATGTTTTACGAGCATATGGGGCGCTTGTGCGCGCATTTTTTTCAGCGCCTACTCCGTGCTCGTATGTGGGATGAAAAATTTGGACCTAACACGCGTACGAATCACGTCGCGATCCTATATCGAACGTATATATCGTGGACTATGCGATCACGCACGTCTCTTACGGGATACGCACTTTGACGAGTCATACAGCGTGTGTTTTTTTATTATTTTTTTTTTTTGTATAAACTTATCCGCGCTCCTTGTGTGGGTGCACTCGAAAAGTCCTTTGCTATCTTCCCCTCCTCCTCCTCCTCCTCCTCCTCCTCCTCCTCCTCCTAACCCCTTTTTTCTATCTTTTGTTTATATCTTTATCCCTATCTTTTGCTACGAAGTTTTATTCTCTCATTATTTTCCATTTTCTCGAGATGCACACACGACGATTTAGCGGCATTTAATTTAATTTAATCCTCTTGCAGTATTCATACCGCTTGGATTAATTCCTTCATTCCCTTCTCGCTCTCTCTTTCTCTCTCTCTTTCTTTTTCTTTTTCTTTTTCTCATTCATCGCTCAGAACGCTCTGGCAACGGGTTTAAAATTGCACTAACTAATGCTCGTCGATTCTCTTTCTCCATTTCTCTTCCTCGTCAATTTTTCGTGTCTTACGTCCTTTTTTATTGATCTTTCCGTCTTTTTTGTTTTTCCTCTCTTTTTTTTTTTTTTTGCTTTAATCCAATAATAACTCGCGACGAGCGAGAAAGCTTACTCGTTTTTCCCCCTTTTTAGAATATCGTTTAAACAATACTAATCGTATAAGTCGTATCGTTTTTTTCGTGTCTTCATTTCCTTTTTCCTAAACTTTTGTCCTTTTCCTATATCAGCTCTTCTCTCTCTCTTTCTTTTTTTTTTTTTTCTATTACTTATTGTTGTCTCTGCCAATGCTTGATCCATTAATCATCTTCGCTTTTTAATCCGGATGATAATCTCGCAAAGGATTACGATCGCGAGAATTTCGAAAATGTCAACGAAGGGACGGAAGGGTCTCGTCATCGTCATCAATCGTCGTCATAATTGCCTTTTTCTTTTTCTTTTTCTTTCCTTTCCTTTCCTTTACATTTCCTTTTCTTTTCTTTTATTCATTTATTTATTTATTTATTTATTTATTTATTTATTTTACTTTTAATTTGTTTCCCTCGTTTTTTTTTTAATGATTGCGTCCTTCGAGCGTTTTTGTGTATTTTTTTTAATTTTAGTTTTTTCTTCTTCGGTTTGTCTCTAAACGCCACCTAATTTTCTACGGCGATAAGTATATATATAAAATTGCCCAAAAAATAGTTGTATGTGTATATATAGATACTTATCGTTTTCGTTTTTACCTCTTTCTCTCTCTCTCTCTCTTTCTTTCTTTTAATCATTTCTTTTCTTATCCGTGTTTTTTTCACAATTCGTACGCAACGTATTATCAGTCACATTAGCATACGTAACACGTAATGTATTAAATATACTTCGTATCTGCGTGTGATTTATTTTCTTTTGAATGTTGCAGTTGCGTCCTTTTCGTATTGTATCTCTGAATGTATTATTATCGTATATATGAATTATTGAACCTGGTATACGTATGTGTGTGTGTGTGTGTGTGTGTGTATAATGTATTATGTGAACAGGTGTTTCTTTCGTTTCTCTTTTGGAAAACTACCCTCTTTACTTAATTTAATCATTTTCATTCTTTCTACATCATCGTCGTAGTCGTGCGAGGTTAACTATGTGACTGTATTATTCTTATTACTTAGTTGTTGTTGTTATTATTATTATTATTATTATTATTATTATTATTATTATTATTATTATTATTATTATTATTATTATTATTGTTGTTGTTGTTTTTCGACTGCTACTATATACGTACAGAAACGTCCGTCTATGAAAGCAGATCACACATTAAAAAATGGCGTAACATGCTCGACGTACCCCGTTTCTTCAATTATCTACTAACACATACTCGGTTCAAGATTTCTTCTTCTTCTCATTCACTTTTATTTATCCCGTGTGATCGAGTTCGAGCTAATTGATGATTCTTTATTTTTTTTCTCTCATTTATTTTCGTAATGTTGTTTGTTAAGCTTGTTTCTTTATTTATTTGTTTATTTCTTTCTTTCTTTATTTCGTTCGAACATCGAAAAGGATACAATCTGGTGTATTATTAAAACGAAGAAACTAGCATTTCCGAGCGGTTCCCAAAGACTGATCTTTCTTCTTCTGTTCAATTACGAGAGGACAAAAGGTATGATTCAGCTGGACCATTCGAGAAACAATAGATATATACATATATTTATATAAATATCCTTCGTAATGTCCGGTGGATCCTCGTTTGGAAAAGTGCGAGACGAGAATATATTGCTGTAAGAAAGTGATAAAATTGCTACAATATTTCCCGACAAATGGCGCTAACTAATTGATATCAAAGTGATCTCACCATAAAACTGTACAAAAATCTACCTCCTTTTTATTTTCTTCTTCTTCTTCTTCTTCTTTTTCTTCGTATCATAGATTATTAGCTTATACTTTGAGTGTATATGCTTGTGTAAATGTGTATATGTATATGAGTAAATATATATATGTGTGTGTGTGTGTGTGTATATATATATGTAGGACAAGAGTTTCCGCTCTTTTTTTTTTCTCCCTATGTATAATATTTAAATATACTATACACATGCATACGTCGTTTAAGTTTGTACAAACTTTCGAGGATCGCACCGATGTTTCAAGGTCACATCCCAATCGTTCTCGTTGTCCTCTCTTTTTTTCTAACGAGGACGTAAGAAGGAGCAAGTGATCTATGACCCGATTCCCCTTTACTTAATCTAAACATTTCTATAATTCTTGTTTATCCTTCTAATCTTTGATTTTGATAAACCCGACCGATTTAACCTATCAGAGAGTTTCGATTATCAATTAGAAAAAATATTAAGAAAGAAACAAAATTATCCGAAATGTGTAATTGGAAAAAAAAACGCTTCGAAAAATCCGCCCCACCATTTGACCTATGTATTAAAGTATTGACAGAGAATATTTTTGTTAAAACCTACCCGAGTTCTCTCTCAATAGTTTATTTAAACAAGAAACGAAAAAGAATAAGAAGAAGAAGAAGAAGACGAAGAAGAAGAATATAACAAAAAGTTGAATTTCACTATCGTCACCCTTTCTTGATCATAATCGTCCTATCCCGTAAAATCATTCTCGCATAATTTTCTTTGCTCTCTTTGTTATTTTTGTTGTTGTTACTCTTCCTACGTCTCTACTACTCATCCTCTCATTCTCACTCTCTCCCTCTTTCTCTCTTTTTCTCTTTTTTTTTTTCGCATTATTTCATTCTACTATATTATACTTGTGTCTTCTCTAGCTTTCTATCGATCTCTCAAATAAGTTAATTAGTAAAAAATCATCTCTTCCTTCAGAAAATTGTCTCTTTCTTCCTTTCTCTCTCTCTTTCTCTCTCTCTTCCTCTCTCTATTT